CAAATGATTATAGCCGACCGAGCGAATGCCAAACGACTAGACTGAGCTGTTACGAATATAAAACGGAGTCAGGGGCAATTACACATAGAGAATGACACCAACAACGGTTACCATCACCAAAAGATATTACAGTCAGATATAAATATGTAAATGTGTAATGATTCATAAATGTATTGTTATGTTCCCACTAAGTGAGACTATCATGTAATTTACTAGACCCTTCCTTTGATTTATAAATTGGAGGGACATTTCTCAGAGAATTAACATTATTTGTGACTTACTCTTTCTTTTCTTTCTCCCACTTCACTTTATTTCTCTCATCCGACCAACGCTCTATTCCTTAGGCTTGAACCGTAAGATATTTTGAGATTTAACATCCTAAAAGGTGCGATAAGCGTGGAGTCATGCCTTTAACAAGAAGATAAATGTGTCACGGAGAATGAACAAATATCGAAAAAAACGTTTAATATGAAGTATGTTAGACAATTTTTGCAACAACGAATTCAGGAGCTCCAAGTCCAGATGGCTAGTCAGATTGCGGAACTGACCCACATGGTGCTTGAGGGGAGGGCATAGTCTCTCCTACAACCTAATCCTCCAGCACCAAAGCCCCAAAGTAACCAAACGTCTTAATAAGTTAACTGCGTGGAAGCATCTTAGTACCAAGAAAGTGTTAGATCCATGCCGAGCAATAGGCTGTAAGAGGGGAAAATATAATTGTACTGCCAACCGGGGAATGTGTTATCCCTTCGCATTATTGATGTAAAACCCCAAAAAGGTTAAAAGTTTCGGCTTTGGAGCCAAATAAGTGTCAGAGCGATCCGACCGATCATATTATGTCCTTTGAGCCAACTACAAGCCTTCTCAAAGTGTCTACACATTGAAATGTCGATTATTTTACAACACACCTAGAGATTCATCCCTCAGGTAGTTCAATGGGCTCTTTGTCAAGATTATTACATCCTTTGTAAATTTCAAAAGTTATTTACAACGCAGTTCGCTAGCACCTAAAGCCCAACAAGGATTTAGAATCTCTTTGACACGTAAAGCAGGGACCGAATGAGAGCCTACAGGAATATGTTACACAATTCTAGAAGGAGATGCTAGAGGTAAGGAATTTGGAGCTTGCGATTGTAAATGTTGCACTTGCACAAGGGCTGAAGAACACTGAATTTAAGCATTTACTGGGTTTACAAAAGCCCAAAACTTTGGCGGAACTCCCGAAGCTGGCCAACAACCACATTATGGCGGATAAGTATGTGAAATCGCCTGTCTAAAAAGGTGAAAATTTTGACTGATAGTCAGGCAAGAAAGACTCATGAAACGACGAATGAAGAAGAAGGATGACCCTCGCCTTAAGCGTGAAAGAGGTTGGTCGTCCCACGGGGTTAGGGAGATTGATCGAAACACATGAAGACATAGAAAATCGAATGATCGCTCAACTACTGATCGAGGGACGTCGAGACCCACACAACTAAGGGTTTTGATGGAAGAACTGGTGGAAGCGATTCAGTACAAAGAATACTTCTAAAAGGTCCCACCGATGAAAGCCAAATCCTTTTTCATCAAATCACAGCAAATTCTGCAAGTACCATAAAGACCATGACCATGATGCAAAGGAGTATAGACACCTTTGTAGCTTGGTTGAGGAGTTAATTCAGGTTGGAAAGCTCAAAGAGTTTGTGACCCTCGAATCGCACACTCGGAGACATGGGAAGGCACCTGCGGAAGATGACTCAGATGGACTTGTTTGAGCTAAAGTTATACTCATTAGTGACAACGATACTGGGAGGAGATTTGGTAGAAGACCCGACCAAAAGAGGGACGAATCTGGAGATTAATGCACTATTGATCAAAGAGGAAACCCCATCCCTCGATCATATTTACTAATGGTGACTTGACCCTGCATGGAATCCATACAACAATGTCATCGCTGTTATGACGACGATTAAAAACTACCAGGACGACAATATTCTGGTTTACATATATAGCTCGGAACATCCTGTTCAAAGACGCTTTCAACATGATGAACTTATTAACTAATCGATTGTTTTTGCCTACTGACCCTCTGTAAGAGTTCTCTAACAAAAAGAAGGAGGCGCTTGGAATATTCATACTGTTTGTCACCGGGGAGAGGGAGGCAACTAATCATTAATATGGAGGAATTTTTGTGGCAATGCACCACCAATGTATAATGCAATTTTTGGTCGCCCTCTACTCGATAATATCAGAGCTGCGGTATCTATGTACCACTTATAGTAAAATTTATTGGTGATGAGGAAATTATGACCGTGCGTGGGAAACTGGAGCTATCTCAGACATGTTACATCCGAGCGTAGAGAGCATGGAATAAGGAACCTTGGACATACAACACCAATGGGAAAGGAACCTTGAAGCTGAAAAAGCCACCATAAAGGTCATCGCGGACCTTGACAAGCCGGGAAAAAAATTTTCTAATTAGTGAAACATTTGATGCAAGTCACAAAGAATTGTTGCCCCGAACTCTCCAAGAGCACCGCAACATTTTTGCCTGGTTGGCTGTTGAGATGCCAGATGTTGGTTGTCATTGCCTTAATGTTAGTTCATCTGCCCGCCACGTAAAGCAGAAGATGCAGTTGTCAGCCATGAAGTTAGTCAGGCTGATTAGCGAGCAAGGACAAAAAGCTCAAAGAGCTGGGTTACATCTGAGGGGTGCAATACCCTTCCTGGTTATCTAATGTAGTCATAGCACAAAAGTCTAATGATAAGTGGAGAATGCGTTGGGACTTCAAAAACCTAAACAAAACCTGTCTTAAGGATGAATACTCCTTACCAAGGATCGATGCGGTGGAGGACTCTATGTCGAACATTCTGCATGAGTTTGTTGGATGCTTTTTCTGTTTACAAGGAAATCAAGAAGCACCCGAGTGATGCTGAAAAGACCGCTTTTATTATGGGTGAAGGGTTATACTATTTAATGTAATAACCTTGGGTCTGACAAATGATGTCGCTACTTACTAACGCCATATAGATGTAATATTTTCTAAGCAAAAAGAAAAAAAAAATATTAAGGTATATGTCGATGTTGTTTTAGTGAAAAGTAGGTCAATTGAATAACATATATGTGACTTAAAAGAAACTTTACAAAATTTTAGGAAATATAATATGAAATTAAACCCGCTAAAATGCAGGTTTGAAGCTTCAACTGGAAAGTTCTTGGGGTACCTTCTGAAGCCCGAAGATATAAAAGCTAATCTCGAGAAAGTCAAGGCACTCTTGAATATGTCCTCTTCTCGCAATACCAAGAAGGTGCGGAAGCTTGCCGATTGAATAGCAGCTCTTAGCAAATTTATTTTCAAATCAGGTGACAATTGCGCTGCTTTCTTTAAGGTATTAAGGAAAGCCAAAAATTTGAATGGTCAATTGAATGTGAGCAAGCCTTTCACAGTCTTAAGTAGTCATTAGTCTCGCCTTCATTGCTACAAGGGTTGAAGTAGAAGGAGAAACTCTCACTATTTGAGAGTAAGGACAGAAGCCATCAATTCGGTTCTGATTTGAGAGGAGTTGAGGAAATAATTCGCTATCTACTACACCAGTCGGGTTCTCAGGGGAGCCGAGGTTGGTACACAATTATGAACGAAGCTAACATTTGCTTTAATTGTCTCTACTTGTAGGCTCCGATTATATTTCCAAACTCACAAGTTTAGAGCACTCCGGTCGGCTTATGGAGTGGGCTGTGGAACTTAATGATTACAACATCAATTGCATTCCCCATATGACGATTAAGGCTCGGGCTGTAGCTGACTTCTCAGAACCCGACAGCTTGAGCGAGGGAACCAAAATAAGGGAGCAAAGTTGGATCCTGTAAATCAATGGTGCCTTCGGGCAAGCAGGTGTGAGAATTGGTCACCCTTGATTTGGAGGTTACAATAATTAAACGGAATACAAAGAGCTAATAACAGGATTACGACTAGCCCTCGAAATGAGCGTCCTACATTGAGTGGTTAAGTTGACTTCTCAACTTATTGCCAACCAAGTCAATTGGAAATTTGAGGCTCGGGATGAGATGATAGCAAATATTTGAACAGGGCAAAAATGGAGACAGGATAGGCTACAGGCTTCCAAAATTGAACATGTTAGACGGGAAGAAAGCCAAGTGGCTCATCTTCAGTTAAGGAACATATGCTTTGAAGAAAGATGCCATGAAGGCTTTTCCGACCAACCATAGAAGAGCTAGAGGCAATGGAGGTGGAAGCTAAGGGTATAAAAACTTGGATGGATCCCTACGTCTTTTACATAATTAAATGCTCAAATGAAAATAGATTTTGTGTTGAACGTGAATATTGTTATTAATATCTATGATTTTCTTATAACCTCCGTAACATGGCATAAAAAAATAAATTAAAAAAAAATTTATAATTATATATTATATGTAATTGCCCAAAAAAATATTTGTTTACTTGTCTAAAACACGAATATAAGCTCAAAATAACTCTCATTAACTAGCTATTAATAATTAAGCTTTAGAATTACGAATTTAAATGCTCAAATGAAAAGAAAGGTGAATTTTTAAAGCTTAAAAAAAACCCTCACAAAGATGAGGCGATTTGGGCACCCTAAACATTTATTTACATATCGAACAACATCTTTCACCAATTTTTCAAATTCTCACTCAAATATCAAGGATCATGATAAAACCCCTGTCAACATTTTCCATTTTTATCAAATTTTAATTGTGGCAAGCATAAATCGATAAGCTGATGACAATATATATATACATAACCTGACTCATTGGTGCGTCCTCTAACGTAAGTCTCTTGGGTCGGGGGTTCGAATCCCGTGGCACGGGCTCTTCGAATCAGATACAAACACACCTGAGTTTTCAACTCATTGGAAAAATCGATAGTTGATGTCCACTTGACCAATTATCGATTTCACATTCTCAAAATAATATATATATATATATATATATTGCATATATTGTTTGTATAACAATATTACCATTACCACCACTGTTTTTTTTTGTCCCGCAGTAGTGACAGATTGTAAGCAACTATCAGCCCACGCCGCCCATCATAGCACACACACACACTCTCTCTCCCCCCACGCTTTATCTCTCTGCTCTTCGCCTCACGCACTCCCTTCGCCCAAATCTGGAAGCCCTAAAAAGATGATGGAAGGAGTCCTCCCCACCTTGTTATCCTCTTTCCAGAGCTGGTTCACCCCTACCATCCTCTTCCTTCTCCTCAACCTCATCATCGGCACCATTGCCCTCACCTCCAAGTCCTCTCGCACTGAAGATGCCCCCCTCCACCCACCCCCACCAAACGAAACCATCACCTCCAAGTTCTCCCGCTCCTCCTCCGCCCTCCTCCACCGCATCCTCTCCTTCAATCCCCACCTCCATTCCCCTTCCCCCACCGACATCAAACCTCTCGATCCTCCTTCCCTCGAAACAGACTCCATCAAACCAGATCCAGCGCTCACCGGCGAGATCCACCACCATCTCAACCGGATCCAGTCGCCCGCAGAGACCGATTCGAAGCTCGCGGAACGGATGAAGAAATCCGCAACCGAAAAGCCCCCTCACGCGCATTTTGAAGAGGGAGAGATCCTGCAGCTTGCGGATAGTATCGTCGGAGAGGACGGAAGGGAAGTCGATGCTCTCGCCGACGACTTCATTTACCGTTTCCGGCAGCAGCTGAAGCTGCAGCGGCTTGAATCCGTGGTGAGGTACGAGACCATGCTCAGCCGAGGTCAGTCAAAATAGGTTAAAAGCAGGAAGAAATTTGATGATACATCAAAATATATCTTGTTTTCTGCCTCTTTAATTCCTTTTTTTTTAGCGGTTTAATTTTATTTTTTTTTAATTTTGTTTTGTTGTTTAAGTAAATTTATTCCGCAGGAATTTTAAATTTATTGGAATTTATGGATTGAATTTTTTGTTTTTTAAGTTGGGTTAAATGTTGAGGGGGTTTGGGGTAGTTTATTTGGGGCAGAGACGTTTTGACAACGAACATTGCATGTTTAAGTAAACTGAGTTTTGACAGTTTATGTGTTTTTAAAATGATGAAAACAACGTTTTCACACCCCACCTATATGGGGCTGAGGTCCGATATTTCCAAAAAAAAAATAAAAATTTGTAATTGTCACCCCATCTTGCTTATCAACAACAGATTATTTTTAATCAGCTTATCAATAAATTATTCAATAAGCTACAACTGTTCCAAACAAATATTAAAACGGTCTAAAACTTTTTATAATAATTGGTATAAAGGTAACAATATATATAAATGTGTGTGTGTGTGTGTGTGTGTGTGTGTGTGAGAGAGAGAGAGAGAGAGAGAGAGAGAGGGAAATATAAATAAAATAAAGTTAAGGGTTAGATATGTAAATATTGTAAGAATTGTGGGTGCTTATGTAAGTGCCCCTGTTTAAATGGATGAAAAGGGTAATTTGCATCTGGGTGATTAGCTGTCGCTACGGTGCAAAGGACCAGCTGCAGGCCGGGTTAAAAATAGCTCATTATATATATATATATATATATATATATATATATATATATATATATATATATATTCCGAACATTTACATACATGAAAGCCAATTTTTATGTATTTACATATGTAGGAAAATTTTATTTTTTAATATTTATGCCAACTAAATCTTTCATATCATCTAAAAAATACTACTGTTTTAATTTTTAAAAGTGACATACATCTTTTTTTTATGTATATATTATTTGGGATATATATAAAAATTTGAATGTTAAGTGTTAGATCTATAAATACATAGGAATTAAGTGCAATGCATGTAAATCTCTTCATGTTTAATCTATTTTGGGACATAAGATCCACTGTTGGGTATACCACATCTGATGTGTAAGATCTTGAATGTTTCCCAAATGTCATAGAAAGACACTAGAAGGAGAGAGATGTCCTCCCCCTTTTATCCTATAGAGACTATCCTCTTCTTCCCCTTGGAACAACAATTTCCCTCTCCCATGGGAGAAATTATTCAGTACAGATTACACACTTAAGCTCTACGTGCTTGCTCTAGTAATATGTCGTCATGTGTGCTACACCATACCTACTTATTGGAGCGGAACCGCGGAGGTTATTGAGGGGTTGTTCCGTTTAATAACCTTCCAATAACCCATAATAATATTCATGTTTCCGCTCCAATAATTTTCGCGGTTTCACTTTAATATTTTTTGATGCTATTGTGGGGTTATTGGGGGGATTGTTAGGAGGTCATTGAAGGTATTAACTACGTGCTGTGAACTGCTCTAATAACTCTTCGACGTAACACACTTGGCGTCATATTACGGGAGTAACGCGCGTAGAGCTGCGTGCGTACTCCGTATGGAATAATTACTCCTCCCATAAAGTAACTCGTGTTTTTTTTATGGGAAGGCTTTAATCAGGACTTGACCTCTCGTTAGTGCACAAACCGATATTGGCGATGTGATCGGCCTCTTTTGTCTCGAACGTTATTCTCGATTTGATCAGACCAGTTTAAATGATTGGGGGCGATCTGATCACTTCGGTAAGTGGGTTTGGGCGGTAAGCATTTTGTAAAAAAGGATGTCTGGTTTGACCTATTCAGGGAACCGCCAGGCAAGCTCGATTTCACAATTCGGTATTTGTGTATACATTTCCCAAAGGAGTTGCATGAATATTTCTGGTGTATACAAGCTATTATGATCAAATATATATATAATTCAATAATTTTTATTTTTTTATTTACAAATCAACCATTATCTTTCACCCTTTTTTCAAATTCTCCCCCAAACATCAAAACTGCAAACCACAACTTGGATCGCCGGCGCACCATGCCACCGAACGCACATTGTGGTGCTATCTGCACAGTCGTCGGCATGTCTGATTAATCAGATCGAATATTTTCTCCCTAAATAAAGGTAAAGTTATTTCAACTATTATTTAACCAGCCAACACCTGAACTTAAAAATATTGGTTTTGGTTTGAATAAAACTGGAGTCAATCATAAAAGATGCTGATTGTTTTATCAAAGTTCAAGTTGTCACAAGTCAAAATTATAAAACTGAGGGAATTATGTAAATATGAAAGTTTAGGTGTTAGATATATAAATACATAGAAACCTTGTGGCATGCAAATGCTCCAAAATTATATTAAACTTGTTTCAAAATAAATAAAAACTTTAAAACCCCAGCAAAAAATATTGACAGGAGCAGCCTCCCATCTATATTTTCTCTTCCTACGATCCCTACCCAAAACTACGAGTCAAATGCAGCACTAATAAGTCCGTACGAAGAACGTGCGGATGACAACATGAATCACATCACGACGTCGAACTCACGTAGTAAAACTGTCAAAATGGCTCGTTGTTCATGAACAACTCGTGTTCGGCTCATTCGCTAAGTTAACGAGCCGAACACGAACAACACAAACAAATATTTGTTCGTTCGTGTTTGACACGTTTTGACTTGAAATACTACTAGTCAATTATACTATATATATATCTATGATGAGTAGTATTTTTAAAAAAATTAATTGAGTACAAGATTACAAACATTTATAATCAATTAAAGGTGTTAATGAAGAAATTAGAATAAAAATTATTCAAATAAGATTCAAATGGTGTTTTAAATCTTGCTCTAATCCTTGACATCTTATGGCTACCTGATTACAGGCTCTTTGTTGGTGAACGGCTCGTGTTCGGCTCGCTAAGCAAACGAGCCAAATACGAACAAACTTTTTGAGCTCGAAATATAAACGAGCCGAACACGAGCTGAGCCCGGGCTCGCTCGTGTTTGACTCGTTTACACCCCTAAACTAGACGCAATAATTTCTCATAAAAAAAAAAACAAAGAGATAGGTATGCTATATTTTTGTAGTAAAAAAAAAATATCATGATATGGTGAAATATGCTCACAACATTCTGAAGCTCATGTTGAACCCGCAAATAAAATCTGCTAAAATAAATCTGGAGCTCAATCAAAACGATAAAGATCCTTTTTCATTATTTTTATATATAAATAATCTTAATAATGAACAAAATTCATTCACGGAAGTTGGTGGAGATGATGTCGCCAGTTTTTGCAATTTTGAAACAGATCTTCAAGATCTTCCTTTTGAAACACCAATTAAAATCTTTGAGCCAAACCCCTTTGAATTAACTCCACCGTCACAACTTGAAGCTTAACCTATCCCTGGATCATTCTCTAAACTCGAGATGATCTATCCAAATATAGAAGACCAACTTGAAGAGTTGGAATACCCCCGTCTCAAGAAAATGACCGCTAAAGCAGATAGTGCTTATGCGTCCGTATCCTCTTCCAATTTGCCACCAAATGAACCGGTCATGGGTCCGGTTATGTATCCACCTGCAATTTCAGGAGCGCAGACGGATCCCTCTTCCTCTTCCTCTAATAATTTCCAGAACCTGAGGTCAAGAGCCTCAGACTTCAAAAGATCTTACCAGCAGAACATATGGACTCTTCCTTCTGCACAGAATGCACATGGAGTTATGCTTGTTCTACCAGATGATTTCTCTCTCTACGATGACATGATTTCCAGATGAGAGTCAATCACTTTAAATCTGGTAAATGATAAACAATTTGCCGACAATAAATCAAAGGTGTTGTTTATTGAAAATCTGCTGGGAGAAGTTGAAAAGAAGATATGAATCTCGGAGGATGACATACGAGGATGAATATGAAGCTGTAATCAACATTGCTGACGATCCTTAGAATGTTTTTATCAGCCATCATAAGAGTTATCTTATTGGAAGACCCGACCAAAAGAGGAAAAGAGGGACCCGACGAAAAGAGGGACGAATCTAGAGATTATTGCACTATTGATCAAAGAGGAAACCCTATCCCTCGATCACATCTACTAATGGTGACTTGACCCTGCATGGAATCCATACAACAATGCCATCATTGTTACGACGACGATTAAAAACTACCAGGACGACAATATTCTGGTTTACATATGTAGCTCGGAACATCCTATTCAAAGGCGCTTTCAACATGATGAACTTGTTAACTAATCGATTGTTTTTGCCTTCTGGCCCTCTGTAAGAGTTCTCTAACAAAAAGGAGGTGCTTGGAACATTCATACTGTTTGTCACCGGGGAGAGGGAGGCAACTAATCATTAATATGGAGGAATTTTTGTGGCAATGCACCACCAATGTATAATGCAATTTTTGGTCGCCCTCTACTCGATAATATCAGAGCTGCGGTACCTATGTACCACTTACAGTAAAATTTATTGGTGATGAGAAAATTATGATCGTGTGTGGGAAACTGGAGCTGTCTTAGACATGTTACATCCGAGCGATATAGAGCATGGAATAAGGAACATTGGACATACAACACCAATGAGAAAGGAGTCTTGAAGCTGAAAAAGCCACCATAAAGGTCATCGCGGACCTTGACAAGCCGGGAAAATTTTTTCTAATTAGTGAAACATTTGATGCAAGTCACAAAGAATCGTTGCCCCGGACTCTCCAAGAGCACCGCAACGTTTTTGCCTGGTTGGCTGCTGAGATGCCAGATGTCACCATAGATGTGGGTTGTCATTGCCTTAATGTTAGTTCATTTGCCTGCCCCGTAAAGCAGAAGATTCAGTTGTCAGCCATGAAGTTAGTCAGGCTGATTAGCGAGCAAGGACAAAAAGCTCAAAGAGCTGGGTTACATCTGAGGGGTGCAATACCCTTCCTGGTTATCTAATGTAGTCATAGCACAAAAGTCTAATGATAAGTGGAGAATGCGTTGGGACTTCAAAAACCTAAACAAAACCTGTCTTAAGGATGAATACTCCTTACCAAGGATCGATGCGGTGGAGTACTTTATGTCGAACATT